ATGTTGAATTCACCTTGTAACCTTGGATCAATGATCCTCTGAATATCCCCTCTTTCAATCAAAGGATTAATCCACTCAATTATGTGATTGCGCTCTTCACCTCTTGTTATGACAGGTTGACCACAAACCAGCTCTAAGAGAACTATTCCAAAGCTGTAGACATCACTTTTCTTGTTGATGATTCCCAATGAGTGAAATCTGTAAGGAAAACATAAAAAAAGTTATATTAATAAGATATTGAAAAGGAGTTACTAATCATGTTTTAGATTTAAGACTCACTCAGGATCTAGGTATCCAGGCGTTCCTGCAAGGGAAGTTGATATATGGGAAGCAAATTCTGTTGAAAAAGCTCTGGATAATCCAAAGTCAGCTAACTTGGCTTGTATGTTCTCAGTCAACAAGATGTTGGAGGTTTTCAAATCTCTATGTACTATCGGTGGCCTGCAACCAGTATGCAGATACTCCAATCCTGCAGTTATAACATTACAAAAATGTTAATTAAGCTACTTTAAGCGAAAAGGAAATATTGAACTGGAAACTTCTATTAGAGTATGGACCATGTGCAGCATCTACAACAATTTGAAGTCTTTCGATCCAGCTCAAAATGTTTTTGTTTCCATCTACAGGAAAAAAAACGTCATAATAGCCTTTTACCAATTCAAGTTGTCAAGGCCAGTGAATTGATCAGGGATTGTTAAGGACAACATGGCATGTACCTGAAAAATGCTGTCTTAAGTTTCCATTAGCCATGTATTCATAGACCAAAGCTTTGTTGTCATCTTCGTCACAATATCCCACCAAAGAAACCAGGTTCTTATGATGAACTATCATTAACAATTGTGCCTGCATTTTGTTGGTTTTTCCACAAACGAGTGGAGAGAAAATCAGGAAGAATTTGAAGAGTAGAACCGAAAATGGAGAGGAGTATAACACTTCAACTCAGATTTTCTCATTAACAATCTCTATTATATATATGGCAGAAAACAAACCTAAAAACAATTCAAAAAGTTTCTTATTTTGTCTAAGCAACTTTTCTATATTGAAAAAAAAACAATAAAAGAACATCTAAAAAAAGTAAAAGATAGCCCTTTTGCTGCTTGCTTGCTCTCATTTATCTGACCAATTTGCAGCCCTACATTTCATTTGCATTTGCATTTTCCATTTGCTGCTCATTGCAGCATAGCTTCCTGCACATTTTTGCTGTCATCTTACAGTTTCATTTCCATCATATCTGCAACTAAATTGCTACCATATTTGCTGTCAAATTGTAGCTTCATTTACTGTCAATTTTTAGCCTCATTGCAGCCATTTCATGGCAGTTTCATTTCAACATTTTGCAGGTTTGAATGCCACATTTCTAATAATATTTCCAACACATTTGAAGATAATGCTTTGTCAAAGTAAAATTCATTTGGTAGCTTGTCATTTGTTATAAGAGTATTAAGAAAAATGGTTGCAGTAATCGAACCTCTGCTTGGAATTCCCTATAGCCTTGCTTTGATGATGATGATAGAACCTTAACAGCAACATGAGTGCCATTAGTCAAGGTGCCAAGGTAAACTTTTCCAAATCCTCCTTCCCCAATAACCATTGTGAAATTTGAAGTTATGTTAGCAATCTGGGAGTAAGTAAAGGTCCTATTCTTTGATTTCATTGACTGCTCCTCCTTTAATTTGGCCCCTGATTAAAGCAATGAAAACTAGCATATTTCAAGACAAACACAGGCACCGAAAAATGCTTTACCTTTTGACAATGAGGTTACCTTTTTGTCTTCTCTTTTTAATTCTGCAAATGATGAGCAGAACACTCAAGATGATAAGAAGGGCTACAATTGAAGCAGTAGAAGCAACAATGGGAAGAACCACCCTCTTATTGTTATTTTCACAAGCATCTGACAGGCATAGGTCAGGATTTTCATCCAAGCTTTGCAATTGAGTATAAAGAGAAATGGTTAGATTTTATGGCATATTAATCATGAATACTAATCTTGCAATTAGAATTGGCTAATTTGAGAAAAAAATATATCCATGAGAAAGCATTAGATGATTGTTAGCAATCATGTTACAAGATGCATCAATTTTTTGTCATTTAGACCAGAAGATGAGTTCAAAATCTAGACTTAAAAGGAGCTAAATGAAAATTGAAGGATTGGCAGTATGGCAAAGAAATGAAATCAAACCTTAGTTTCAGAGCTCCATTCTTGGACTTCTCCATTAAAGTGTGCGGAATTTGTCCTTTGAATTTGTTTCCAGATAAATCACTATAATGAATATGCCAAATATGTGTTGTTTATAATCTGTATAACTCTGAAAAGAAACAACAAAAAATTAGTATGGAAGATCAATTAATAAAAAAAATAACATACAGGACTTTCAGCTTGGGTAGTTGGGCTAAAAATTCTGGCACCGATCCTCTTAGTTTATTATTTGATAAGTTCCTGAAACCAAACCAAAAAAAAAAAAAAAAAGGAAAAAATAGACCAATCTGATTATGAAATTCTTAAACAAAATTTCACTATATAACCGCACTACTACTCACAGAGACTCCATTTTTGTGAGATTGACGAATGCAGAAGAAACCTCCCCTTCTAAGCTGCTAGAGCTCAAATCCCTGTTTGTAAAATTCATGGAACAAAGATAGAGATGTTTGTCTTCAGAAAAATCCTGTATCCCAATAATAAACATACTAGTAGTAGGAGATTGTAACTACATTTTCTCTACTTTCAATAAAGAGACAATTTTATCCCCTATCCCAACAGTGGGTGGGAATAGGCAATAAGGACTGGGCCTTCTCCCTATCCCTATGTGACCTAGTGGTCATCTAGATTAGATAATTTCTTACAGATATGTGATCCTCATAGTAGAATTCTCAGAACCGCAGCGCAAACCACTCCACTTATATGCTGGTGGGAGACATGGGTCTCCTTGCCAATCAAGTCTACTTATCTTGTACGTTTGCTTGATGTCCATGGTTGCATCAACTGTAGTTGTTCAATCCATCTGACTAAATTAGCCTTTGCAACTAAACATCTTGCAATATCACTAATTATGTATCAATTAGATTTAAAAAAAAATAAAAATAAAAACCACACACACACACAAATGGGGATTGTTAATTACGTATACTAAATTAAACAGTTGTGTCTCCTGCACCTCTTTTCTAAGGGTTAGGGTTTGGAGTTATGCGTAAAGATGTGCATGGTTCAGTTTTGGTTATAACTAAAACCAAACTATCAGTTAATCAAAATTTCAAGTTTTAAAGTTTAGTAATCATTAACCAACTGAAAGGAAAATGGGTTTTTATCAATTTTAATTGCACTTTTAAAAGTAACTATTCAGATCAATTTTAGTTTTAACCAAAAAAATTATTTTTATATTTTAGTGATTTTTTTGAACTCTTTAATTATTATTTATTAATTTCTATCATTAAAAAAATTAAAAATTACCCAAATAAATAAATAATTTAGTGAAAAGTAGCTAGAAAACCTTACAAATCTAGAAATCATTAAAAAATTTATATAAAAGGCTTTTTGATCAGATTTTTTTGTTATACTCACCCTAATCATTGATTTTTTCAGTTTTTTAGGCTTAATAACTAAAACTCAAATCATTTTAAATTGGTTTAGTTTGTTTTTTAATCAAATAAATACAAAACCCAATCAAATTTTACTTATCAATTATGATTTTGTCAATTTTCAAATTTTTTTCAGTTGTGGATTTTTTGGTTTACTCCCTAGTTGTGGGTTTCTCCCTTCAAAATTTCTCTCTCTTTAGGTGAGTTTCTATCTTTCTTTTTAATTCATCCGTCCATAATTTATCCTTTTAATTTTGTTTCTCTCTTTATTTTGTTTACAATCTAATGCATCCTCCTCTATCTTTTCTATAAAAACAAAAAACGAAAAGACAGCAAAAAAAAAAAAAAATCGAGGGCAGCGGCAGCATATGTTGGTTTCTTGGAAACCTGTTGCGTTTTTGTGTGCTTGGCTGCTGGTTGTTTTTGTGGGTACTGTGCAATGGAGCGGAGGTCTACTTTGGGTGGATTTGGTGGAACTCGGTTGGATTCGCTCCGTGCTTTTGACATAGAATTTATGATCGATGGAAGGCTGCTGTGTTACTATATATGGAAACTAATGGTCCAAATTCTGGCGGAAATAAAGATCAAAGATAGATGTTAATTTTCTAAGGATTTTGTTTCCAAGATTCCACTGAGATGCGCTTTATCCAAGAATATCATTTGTCTATACGAAAGAAGTAAAAACAAGATACTAATATTTGGAGATTAACGTCCTAGTTAGTGGTATATATAGTAATATTTGTTTGGTGATATAGTGGAAGGGAACTGTTATACTAGCAAGCTGTTTGCTCCCCCTCAAAGCTTGTACAACAAGTGAGATTATCCAATACCTAAAGAAACTTAAAGAGTAATCTTTTTATACCTTGTTGTTACCCTTATAGTTACATTTAAGTGTTTTCTATCTAGGTGAATTATGTTGGAAAAATGTTTTATTATATTATATCTCAAACTCGTGTTTAGTTATAATATTCATGTAAGCATTTAATTGTTAGCCCTTTAAATGTATTAATTAATTAGATTAGTTTAAAACATGATTATAACTTATGCTAATGGTCATAATCCTTTGCTTTTAATGTATTACATATACGGCAGTAGCAGCAGTAGTTGGGCTGGCAATGCGCAGCAAAATCCTTAGCCCATGCCAAGGTTCAAGTCCTAATAGAAATAGTTGTAATATTACCCCCTTCTTCCAAACTCTCTTTGTTCAAAAAAAAAAAAAGTATTGCCTATACGACAAGTAGACCCAACAATTTTTTATCCAACCCGTTAACCAGCCCATTTAAAACAGGTTAAGGTCATATATTTATGACCCACAACCCGTTAATGACATGTTAAAAGAACCCAACGGGTTACGGGTCAATAACGGGTTGACTCATTTACCTGTTTAAAAATTTAAAATTTAAAATTTATTATTTATTTATTTTGTTTTTCAATTCCCAATCCCACCTAAACCTCTAATAATTGACTAATTTTTTCTAATTGGTTAATTGATTCTTTTAACTCATCATCTTCTAGAAGTAAAAATAATCTCACTCCACTTATAAAAATTTTAAATTTATTATTTATTTATTTTGTTTTTCAATTCCCAATCCCACCTAAACCTCTAATAATTGACTAATTTTTTCTAATTGGTTAATTGATTCTTTTAACTCATCATCTTCTAGAAGTAAAAATAATCTCACTCCACTTATGACTCCCCTTCCGACCTTTCCTATTCTTACTTGCCTTAATAATCTCTAAGACTCTAATTCTTCAAAGTTCAAACTCTTCTCATATTCTTCAACCTCCATAGTCCATACAGCCTTCAACTTTTAAGTTTCGACTCCACATTTTCTCTTTAGTCTTTAACATTATCTCAGACTTAGATCTTAGTTTCACCAAGTCACCATCGTGTCCACTTAGCCCTTTCTTTCTTTCTCCTTCGAATTTGACAAGTGCTTTCTTTGTTACCAACTTTTCTCTCTAAAGCCTTCAAAGTAAGTTATTTACTTATTTATACTTTTTAATTTTCTCTCCATTCCAAGTAAAACTCTACTTGATCTTGTCCTTTGCTTAGATGCATTCAATTGATTGATTCTTTGAAAGCAACGACCACAACAAATATGTTCCAATAGGGTTTGTGTTTTTTGGTTGTCATGCTACTAT